GTATTGGCATTTGCAAGTTTCCTTTACATGGAGATTATATAACCCCACCCCCTAATTATGGTTCATTGACTTTGAAACTTTTACATAGTTTACAAGTTAATGTTTGTGTTAAGGTTTGTTTAAAGGGAACGACTTATGAAAAGTCATTGGTATTTGGTTTGCAGTTGTATTAGCATTGGCACATCTCATTTCCATGGAGATTGTTTAGCCCTGTACCTTCAGTCATGGTTCATTGACTTTGAATATTTGCATAACTGACATGTTAAAGTATTGCTTTTTTAATTTCAACATTTGCATTATCAAAATAACAAATAGGCGAGACATATCTCTGTGTTAACAGTTTATTAAAGTTGTGCTTGACATATAGTTATAATTGACATTTCTTCATGTTTCTAAACTGTATCAAGTTTGTTTTCCATTACAGATTGTAACCTACTAATATGTTATGTTTATGTCTATTTCACAGCTATAGGCACTTTTCAATATCTATATACTTATATACATGTACATACATTTAGTTCAGTACCATATGAAATATAAGCGCATATACTCAACTTTAAGAATTGTAAGCCTATTGCCGTCGATTTGGTTGCATTTTAACTATGATAAAAAAACCTAATAAAGCTTAATGGTGTGTTTTAAACTCTATGCTCACATCTGAATGTGTCAGATATTTTTTTTTTAAAGATAGTACTTGTGTTAACTGTAAGTCAACAAACATGGCCACCATGGCTAAAAATGGAACATAAGGGTAAAACGCATTAAGATTCTTATATCTCTCAACCTTAATAAAATATATAAAATCTGACAGATGTCCGTCCATCCGTGTGTCCTTCCGTCCAGTCTTGTTAGGCATGTTGGGTACAATTCTTGCCAGATTTTTATATAACTTATACTATAGGTTAATACCAGCAATATCTCGGACAAGTTTTATAATGGTGGACGATCAACTTTTTTTAAAAGAGTTATGCTCCTAGGAAATATTAAATTTATGGAAAATGGCCTCGTTAGTGCTTTCACGGTTATAATTCTTGCCAGCTTTTTATAAAACTTATACTCTTGGTTAATATCAGCAATATCTCGGACAAGTTCTATAATAGTGGACGATTGACTTTTTTTAAAAGAGTTATGCCCCTTGGAAATATTAGATTTATGGAAAATAGCCTCGTTAGCCCTCACAGGTACAATTCTTGCCAGCTTTTTAGCTTACTTGGCCCTTTGGCCGTCGTTAACTTTTACAAAAATCTTCTCCTCTGAAACTACTGGGCCAAATTTAACCAAACTTGGCCACAATCATCATTGGGGTATCTAGTTTAAAAAAATGTGTCCGATGACCCCACCTGCCAACCAACATGGCCAACATGGCTAAAAATAGAACATAGGGGTAAAATGCAAGTTTTGTCTTATTATTTTGAAAACCATTATAAAGAGAGAAAATCTGACAAGAGCAAAGATGTTCAGAATGTTGAGCTCTACCAGTTGTCCGTACATGTCAAAACTGTCAGATGACTTAAAGGAGTTATTGCCCTTAAATGACAAATTTTACCATTTTTTTTCATTTTTGCCTTCTATCTTGAAAACTATCATAGATACAGAGAAACTTTAAAATGATCAGCAAGACAAGTTCTACTTATAGGTCAACATGGTCGAAATCGTCAATCGACTCCTTATTAGAGTTATTGCCCTTTGATGATGATTTTGACCAATTTTTTGCATTTTTGCCTTATATCTTAAAATTATAATAGACAGATAGAAACTTAGCTAGGCAAAAATGATCAGCAAAACATAATCTACAATGAAGACAATATGGAGGAAATGGTCAGATGACTCCTTATTGGAGTTATTGCCCTTTAAAGACGATTTTCACCTTTTTTTTTTTGCTTTTGCCATATATGATAGATAATTATAATAGATAAAGATACACTTTAAATCACAAAAATGATCAGCAAGTCAAGATCTACTTTGCCGATATAGTTTAGTAGACTATCACTCTTTATAGGAGTGATTGCTCTTAAATGAGGATTTTTTTTATCCTCTTTTGTGTTTTGAGCAAAAACTAAAGAAGATAGAGAGAAACTAAATAGGCTAAATTATCAGTAATACAAGATCAACAAAACAGATTTTTGTCATGAATTCTATTCCTGTCTACAATGTTGGAGAGTGTCCTTTGTTGAATATGCACCTAGACCAAGGTGAGCGACACAGGCTCTTTAGAGCCTCTAGTTATAAAACTTATACTATAGGTTAATATCAGCAATATTGTTATCTTGGACAAGTTCTATAATGGTGGCTGATCGACTTTTTTTAAAAGAGTTATGCCCCTTGTAAATATTACATTTATGGAAAATGGCCTCGCTAGTGCTCTCAAACGTACAATTCTTGCCAGATTTTTTTAAAACATACTATAGGTTAATATCAGAAATATTGACGATCAACTTTTTTAAAAGAGTTATGCCCCTTGGAAATATAAAACATGTGCAAAGTGGGGGACATTGGAAATCTGTTCTTTTATTAATCTTATTTTCAAATTTCTGCCTACTATTTGGAAAATTATCATGACTATAATAGATAGGTAGAAATTGCAAACAGCAAAAATAATTAGATATATAAGATCTACAAAAAAAACCAATGAAATTCAAACCATCAGGTGACTCCTTACAGGAATTATTGCCCTTCAAATGTGATTTTTGACTTATTTGTAAACTTTTGCCGTTTATCTTGAAAACTATTATATATAAGTAGAATTTGTAAACAACAAAAATGATCAACAACACAAGGCCTATACAAAAGAAGTATATGTCTGAAAACATTGGTTGACTCCTTATTAAAATTATTGCCCTTAAATGAAGATTGTTGACTTATTTACCAGTTTTTGTCCATAATCTTGAAAAAAACTGAAAATTAGAATAGATACTGTGAACAGCAAAAATGATCAGATATTCAAGGTCAGCAAAAATTCATACATGACTGTAGCCATACCTGTCAACTGACCCGGATCCTGCGGGTGTGACCCGAGATTTTCACAATTCTGAGGGGTCACCCAGAACACCCGCCGGGTGACCAAATAACCCGGGAATCCGGAAAATAACCCGTTTTCACCCGGATTCCGTAGCCTTCAGACTGATTAGATTTAAAGTGATTTCAATGAAATACCGGCAAATTCGTAATTCTTCCTGGACAAGAAGTTCAACTAGCTGTGTAAACTCAGCTCAATTGACCCATTTCAGTGCATGGCTTCACTTGACAGCTTTGGTGTCAAACACACTGTTAATTAACACCAATTACCTTAGCTTTAGGTCGTAAATAATTTGTGTATTTCAAAGTTGTTTTAAAAACAACTTGAGTTACTTCCCCTGTTTTGTCAATTCACAATATACTCCTTAAACTTATCTTTTTTTTGTAAAAAGATTAAATCTAAAATGAATTGAATGCACAAACATATCAGAATAATACTTTTACTTATTGTTCTACCTTCACCTTAGAACAATTAAAAAATAAAAATTTTGAAAATTACTTTTTTCATCTATACCTCCTTTAATTGTTTAACTTTATTTTATTATACACTAATATCAGAATATGATATATTCTATTGTTTAAAAGCTGCACAAATGTATGTAAAGAAAACACAAATTGGCACATTGTATGTTATGGAATGAATATGAACAGGAATTAAGGCAATGTAACACAAATCTATTAATGACCTCCATGTGCAATGAAATAATAATATGTACAATTTTAAATTACTTAACCATGTGGACATGTTTCGGAAACTTTGATATAAATTATAAGAAAAATGTCCCCTAAATACTGAAATTCAGCTCGAAAAAGTTCGTACGCATTATGACCTGAGATTTCATTCTTCTATGCAGGTCATCACCTGCATTTTCATTGTCATAGGTTGACAGGTATGCTGTAGCTATTATATAATTGCTTACAGGAGTTTTTGCCCTTTAAAGACAAATTTATTTAGAATTTCAAGGTATTTGTCTCTTATCCTGAAAACTATAAGAGATAAATAGAAACTGTTATCCTCAAAAAATGATTGGTATATATAAGAATGCCAATATGACAGAAACCATTGGCCATGTTGGCTGACCCCTTATAAAAGACAATCGTTTACTAACTTTTAAGTTGTTGACATTTATTTCAATTTTGTAACCGATATAATATAGGGAGAAACTAAAAAGACAAAAAATATCAGCTATACAAGGTAAACAAGAAAGCGATTTTAGTCATGCATTAAATTGTAGTCTACGATATGTTGGAGAAGGGTCATTTTTCATGTTTCGCATAGCTCCAGTTGAGTGACACAGACTCTTAAGAGCCTCTAGTTGGCCATGGCATTGTCAGACTCTCAGACTTATGAATATTGAGTATCCCCTTGCTATCTTCCGCCTTTTAATCTTAAAAATACTGTTTTGTTCATTCATTGTCTAACAGTCTGGAGAATTTCTGAAATAAGTGATTTATAAAATCACTTATTTAAGTAGCAAATTAGAAATTCTGTGATTTTGTAGTTTTACCAAAATTTTATACATATAGGTATAGATTATATCATTTTATTAGTAAAATTGAAAAAAAAATGAACCTTTTGCTTCCTTTAAGTAGCAAGGTTCATACCTTTGATGCAATCATTCAGCTGTAAATTCTATATTTGTTGAAAAAATGCTATAATGAAGGCTTTACCTATTGAATCAATACTGTCTTAACAGATTTTTCCCAGCAGTGGGAGTATTTTTCCTGTAAAATTCAAGGTTTCATCTTACAGGTTATGAAATAAATGTTACTGTTTGTGATCAAAATTTCACTGTTCGGGGGTGTTGAAATTAATGGGGGTAATCAAAATAATAATACTTAAACAAGTGATTTTCATGTCAATTACTTCTACAATTGATATTTAATGTAGTAACTTTAACCCAACAGCCAATCACAGTTGGAAAAAAAATTATGTGTGTGAAAGAGGAAGAGAATATTTCATTCATACCTTTCTTATATTTCAGTGTTGAATAAACACAAAGTTAAACTACAAAAGAATTACATGATGTTTGTCCATGGTGTTGACTCCAAAACAGACATAGCTGACCACCTGTATCAGTCGGATGTTTTAAGTACTGAAGAAAAAGAGGAAATTTGTAATTCTTCACTCACTCAACATGAAAGTAATAGACTTTTATACAACAAATTGATTCGCAAAGGTGGAGATGCATACAAGCACCTTCTTGAAGCTGTAAAACACGGAAAATACCATGATGTTGCTTCAGAAATGGAGAAGACAGAATTGTCAGATCAAGAAATACAATTGTGTCAAATAGGTAATTATAGCAGATTCTGAAATTAATATTGTGCCTGATTTACTTAGATGATTCCAATATAAATCATAAATTTTACATTATAACTATAAAAATCTGCCCATTTTCTTATACATCAGAGCATATTGAGTGTATCTATTCAGAGGCGGAATTTAAGGGGGAAGGGGACCAGCCCCCTTCCCCCCTTTTTTGAGAAAAAATGTGGTTGATTATTTAGGGAATCACTGAAGCATGACTGGAGTGGGCTCCCCTCTCAGGCAGTCAGTGTCCCCTCCCATTATATTAATCTGACACACAATATGCTAAAAAAAAGTATACAATTCAAGGAAAAAAAGACACGTTTTCATCAATATATGTTTAACTGTAAAAGGAATGATCTAATGTTTGTTTAATTAGAAAATAGAGAGGAACTATTATAAAACTGGTTTTTATACGACCGCAAAATTTTTGCGGTCGTATATTGGTATCATGTCGTTGTTGTCGTCGTCAGAAGACATTTGGTTTCCGGACAATAACTTTAGTATTAGTAAATATAAATCTATGAAATTTAAACACAAGGTTTATGACCACAAAAGGAAGGTTGGGATTGATTTTGGGTGTTTTAGTCCCTACAGTTTAGAAATTAGGGGCAAAAAAAGGGCCCAAATAAGCATTTTTCTAGTTTCCAGACAATAACTTGTGGAATGGTGTATGGATCTCTCTGAAATTATACCACAAGTTTCCATACCACAAAAGGATGGTAAGAATTGGCTTTGGGGGGTTATGGCTCAAACGGTTAAGGGATAAGGGGCAAAAAAGGGGTAAAAAAAGAAGGGTTTCCTGGTTAATGGACAATTACTTAAGTACAAAACATAATTTAAAAGCAGTGTAAGGGAGGTAATTCAAACACATTTGAATTACCTCACTTACACTGCTTTTAAATTATGTATATATATTGGAAATTTGCCAATAACTTTAGTATTGATGAACTCCATTGGAAATTTGCCAATAACTTTAAATGTAGTATAATTGGAAATTTGCCAATAACTTTAGTATAAGTAAATATAAATCTATGAAATTTAAACACAAGGTTTGAAACCACAAAAGGAAGGTTTGGATTGATTTTTGGGGTTATGGTCCCTATGGTTTAGGAATTATGGGTCAAAAAGGGTCCCAAATAAGCATGTTTCTAGTGTCCAGACAATAACTTTTGGAACAGTGTATAGAATTGTCTGAAATTGTACCACAAGTTTCCACACCACAAAAGGATGGTTAGGATTGGTTTTGGGGGGTTATGGCTCAATCTGTTTAGGAATTAGGGGCAAAAAAGAGGGAAAAACAAGGGTTTCCTGGTTAATGGACAATTACTTTAGCTTTGTTTCTTTATGTTGGTACTTTTTGCTATTTGTTTGCAAGTTCTAGTATGAAATATTTTTTTAGCTGTTTCTAGAAACATCAAATACTGTGATTTAAATACATATAATATTATAATAGTGTATATCAAAGGGTTCAGTGGTAATAAATTTTTATACTCAGAATTGATTATTCTTTGTTTGGGTTTTTGGTGGAAGAAGACTTCAACATGTTCAAGTCTTCTGAAAGCCTTTACTGCCGGCTGTAAAATCATTGAACCGTCACCAGGACGTATGCCGTATCCCTTTCTGTGCTTTACAATTTCATAACAACTTCCGTGCCATATCTTGACACCCATGTTTACACATGAGCATCATCTAACTTATAAGTAAGGCTTGAAAAACGATCACTATCGTCATGATCGTTAGTGTTATAATATCTCATGTTTTAATGTATTAATATCAACCCTTTTATTTATGTAAATTATTAGATTTCATCTCATCTTACATGAACGTTGTTTATTTACTTGTAACCGGATGTCTTTAAAGTAGAGTTTGTAGTACGCATGCGTGAATTTGGTATCGTGTCCGTTCGCCCTGATTACATGTTCACCCTTTGTCCGTTAGCCCTGAGTTCGTCCCCATAGAGTACATTCACCCTGGGTTCCTTCTCCTTACTTTTATCGTGGAAGTATTATATTGATTGCTTTTATCAAGGACGTTTTATACGTCGTTGCAATTATTAAAAAATAATAATATTATGGGTATTAAAGTTTAATAAACTTATTCGGATATTTATATGGTATAAATTCTCGAAATTCAGAACCCCTTTGGTTACGTATCTGCGCATGTGCACAAATGGGAAATGTAATTGTGCATCTGAAAATTTCAAAATAATGATAAACAGAATTGTCATATATTCATACAATCTATCTTGAGTTAAGTCAAGTATATACACGTGGAGAGTACGACTTCAAATCAATGATGCTTGAAAAAATACACAGATTTAGTTGTTCCATCTGCGTTCAGATCTTTAATGCAATCAATTAAGTCATATTCCAGTTTTAGACAACATGTGTTTTTTAAAACGAAAGTTAGAATATTTAAGTATGTTACTGCGTTAATAAAGAGTCTAGCGCACACGTGAATCTGCTGGTGTTTTACACATCAAACGATGCACCGTCTGTTGACAGAAATATCAATGAACAAACTAATGTCTGTTGACATATTCCATTTCGAAAGTACGTAGTTTTCATGTAGGTCATTGTCAGAATGTCCCCAATGATTGCCTTTATTGCCTTAATACGTTTCAAAGTTTTAGAAGTGATAAAAAACGGGATTTAACAACTGAATAGTCCAGCTCTTTACTGTTATTCGTCATTAAGGTACACACATTATCGCGGCTCGAGTACGAAACCAGTAATTCATTGCTGTTAACAGTTTTATTTTCATGAAAAATTTCAGAAAAGGGCTGTGTGACTCCTGACGGAAAATGCCATTCCTACCCTCATACTTTTGCGTAAAAATATTAGACGATAAAAAATATGAGATATATGGGTCAAGCACTTTAAATAGATGGGTTTGAAATGCTAAAAGAGTCAAGCACACACGTGATTCTGTCAACTGACGGTGCATTGTTTGATGTGTAAAACACCAGCAGATTCACGTGTGGGCTTAACTCTAAATTATCGCTATAACATAGCAAGGTCATCACCTGACATGACCAGTCAATCCTTGGCCTGACACATATCTGCATTGGATATATTTAGAATTTTTCAATATATGTTTATAATGAAAAACCCTAGTTTAAACAAAGTTGACTAAAATCTTGGTGGCCAGTTTTTTTTAAAGTTAACTATCTGCCTTTAACAGAAAACTTTCAAGTGAAACTAAATCAATTACTGTTAGAATTGCTTGGCGAAATTGCATTGCATTAAGTTGACCATGCTGAGAAGAATGTATGGAATTTAGTTAAAGAAAATTTAATTTGAATCAACAGTATTTGCAGATTTTTATGTTAGGTATAGTGAGTTTTGGTTGAGTTATGAGTATTATTATTTTTGGAAGAAAAAAATAAGTCAAAAGCAATAATGGGACAAAGCAGGCTGGGTTGGTGGGGGCTGCTGTTATTGTAATTCAAGTTACCTTTTATGCATCTTCTTCCACCTCAGAGCAATCAGCTCTTTGATTCTATTTTTTTTGTGTAGCATTGAAAGGATTAAGGGGTTTATATTTTTTTCCCCAAATTTTTTCGAATTTCTGATTTTTTAAATGTTTTAAGAATAAATCTTCAATTGCACAGTAATGCACATTAGATTTGTAAGATCTTTGACCACATTTATTTTGTGTCAGAAACCTATATTATGTCAAAAATTTGATCACAATCCAAATTCAGATAGTATCAAGCTTGAATATTGTGTCTAAATTTGCCCCAACTGTTCAGGGTTTGACCTCTGCGGTCGTATCAGGCTGCGCTCAGCGAAGCATTTTATTAATTATTGTCGAGCCTGCAACTTCTGTTGCAGAAAGCTCGACATAGGGATAGTGATCCAGCGGCGGCGTTAGCTTACTTCTTAAAAGCTTAATATTTCAGAAAGTAGAAGACCTGGATCCTTCCTACTTTGTATATAGATGCCTTATTTTAAGAAGTTTCCGTCTGTCATATGTCCATTGTCCTTGACCTCATTTTCATGGTTCCGTGACTACTTGAAAAAAAAGTTAAGATTTTAGTATTCTTAATTTCTCTCTTAATATGAGCAATAGGATAACTATATTTGGTATGTGTGTTCCTTGCATAGTCCTTACGCCCGTCAGACAGTTTTCACTTGATCTCAACCTCATTTCATGGATCAGTGAACAAGGTTAAGTTTTCACGGTCAAGTCCATTTCTCAGATACTATAAGCAATAGGCAGGCCATAATCTTGCCGGCGAAATGACGATTCAAGTCGCCAAAGAATTTTGAAAATTGCTAAATATCGCCAGTCTACTGACTTCATGGCGTAGTCAAATCGCTATGAAAATCTGTAAAAGGGAGACAACTTGTGAATTACAAATCTCCAAGGTAAAAAAAATGGCGACTGACAAGGAAAATCGAGATTTTCGAAACGACCCAGGACTAATACTGTCGACGATCAAATTAAATAAATACAACGGCGACTTTGAACATCCTTGGATATAACATTAAAAACTATTCAAACGGAAAACTGACCGTCTGTTAAAGTTATCATTTTATGATGATTTTTATCTGAGGATGTTGCGTAATCACTCAGCTGATTTGTTTTATTTTTATTTATTACGAGTCGATCAAATTGTACTATTCGGTGGATTAAAGGTGGGAATTAACGGTAGTTTTATAATATTCATTGAATAAAAATTGAAAGATAAAAGGTAGAAAGACAGCTGATGGATAATGTGATTACAAATGTACAACACTCGACCAGCTGTGATCAGCAGTGGATTTTTTTTTCATGACAATTTCGTTGATAGGGAAGATATTTTTAAAAAATGAAAGAAATTAGCTCTGTATCGGTTAATTAATATGTGATTGACAGACATTTTCATTTATATGCTGAAAATCTTTAACGAGAATCTCAATTTACAACTACACGTAACATGATGTCCTTGACATTCAATAATGTTTTACAAAATAATAAGTGGTGATATAAATTTAATTCCCAGTCATGTGAAATTCATTAGGTAAACTGGGAGTCATATTTTTCTGGACATTTGAAAATAAATTGAAGCAGATGCACATGAATTTAATGCATCATAATATCACTAGGCTACTCCCACATGTCCCAAGCAACAAATTTTATTTAAACTTAAATTCAAGTTGACAGTACAAATGGTATCAGTGAATAAATAACAACTATATTGTCAAAACCTTTTTATTAAGAACTTTCTATATATACATTTGTACAATAACATGAAAAAACTGCAAGTATATTTTTTATTGCATATAAAACAATTTCCTTAGTGATAAGCACAAGAACACTATGCAACCGAAACGGTAATGGAATCTCACTTCTCCAAGAAATTGACCACTTCTCCCTCTCCAAAATCCTAGATTAGGCCCTGTATTCAATAGGTCTACTATATTGGGTGTATGGAATGATTGTAAGGTGTACATGTCCAACTGGCAGGTGTCATCCGACCATGACCTCATTTTCATGGTTCAGTGGTTAAAGTTAAGTTTTTGTGTTTTGGTCTGTTTTTCTAACACTGTATACAATAGGTCAACTATATTTGGTGTATGAAAATATTTTAGGATGTACATGTCAGTTTGGCATGTTTTATTTGACCTTGACCTCATTTTTACGTTTCATTGCTCAATGTTAAGTTTTTGTTTTTTGGTCTGTATTTCTTGTACTTTAAGTAATAGGTCAACTATATATGGTGTATGGAATGATTGTAAGGTGTATATGTCTGTCTGGAAATTATCATCTGACCATGACCTCATTTTCATGGTTCGTTGGTCAATCTTAAGTTTTCCTGGTTAAGTTTGTTTCTTAGATACTGTATACAATAGGTCAACTATATTTAAAGCATGTAATGATTGTAAGGTGTACATGTCTGTCTGGCAGGGTACTTCTGACCTTGACCTCATTTTCATGGTTCATTGATCAATGTTTTCCTGGTTAAGTTTGTTTCTTAGATACTATGTGCGATGGGTCAACTATATTTAAAGCATATTTGGTGTATGAAATGATTGCAAGGTGTACATGTATTACCAGTTTGGTTTATCTGACCTTGACCTCATTTTTGTCGAGTCTGCAACAGCTCGATATAGGGATAGTGATACGGTGGCGGCGTTAGCTAACTTCTTAAAAGCTTCATATTTTAGAAGCTAGTAGACCTGGATGCTTTATGCTTTGTATATAGATGCCTTATGTTACGAAGTTTCCGTCTGTCATATGTCCATTGTCCTTGACCTCATTTTCATGGTTCAGTGACTACTTGAAAAAAAAAGTCAACATTTTTTGTAATGTTAGTTTCTTTCTTATTATGAGTAATAGGATAACTATATTTAGTATGTGCGTACCTTGTAAGGTCCTCATGACCGTCAGACAATTTTCATTTGACCTCGACCTCATTTCATGGATCAGTGAACAAGGTTAAGTTTTCGTGGTCAAGTCCATATATCAGATACTATAAGCAGTAGGTCTACTATATTTGGTATATGGAATGATTGTAAGGTGTACATGTCCAACTGGTAGGTGTCATCTGACTTTGACCTCATTTTCATGGTTCAGTGGTCAAAGTTAAGTTTTTGAGTTTTGGTCTTTTTTTTTCTAATACTATATGCAATAGGTCAACTATATTTGGTGTATGGAAATATTTTATGATGTGCATGTCAGTCTCGCAGGTTTTATTTGACCTTGACCTCATTTTCACGGCTCATTTTTCAGTGTTAAGTTTTTGTGTTTTTGTCTGTTTTTCTTCAACTATAAGCAATAGATCAACTGTATTTGTTGTATGGAATGATTGTAAGGTGTATATGTCTGTCTTGCAGGTATCATCTGACCTTGACCTTATTTTCATGGTTCATTGGTCAATGTTAAGTTTTCTTGGTTAAGACTGTTTCTTAAAAACTATAAGCAATTGGGCAACTATGTTTGGTTTATTGAATGATTGTCATGATTGTAAGGTGTACATATATTTTTCGTTTGGTTTATCTGACTTTGACCTCATTTTCTTAGATCATGTTAAGTTTATGTGTTACTTGTAGTAAAGCTTTATATGTAGGACTATCAACATAAAATCAATGGTTAGTAAAGAAGGTGAGACATTTCAGCTAGTGCACTCTTGGCAGTTTTATGGCTTGGATCTTATTAAGTTTATCATGTTTATGTGATAGTTGTAGTTGAGCTTTATATTTAGGACTATCAACATAAAATCAATGGTTAGTAACGAAGGCGAGACATTTCAGAGTGTGCACTCTTGTATTTAAAATTGTCTGGAAATTCCATTTAAAATCAAGGACAATTAATTATATTGAATTTGAAAGGACAAGTTATGTTTTTCTACCCCCGCTTTAAAAAAGTGGGGGTATACTTTTTTACCTCTGTCTGGCCGTCCATCCGTCTGTCCATCTATCCATTCGTCAGTCCGTCCATCCGTCTCATGAATATTTTTCGTCGCATCTTTCTCAGGAACTACATTACAAGGATTTCTGAAATTTGGTTTCAGGGTTTATATGAGTCAGCTATACCGTGTGATGCGTTTTCAGATTCATCACTCAACAACTTCCTGTTATCCTTATACTTTTTACCGGGGCAGGGGTATAATTAGTGAGCAGTAGCTCACAGATTCACTTGTTTTTTTTTCCAAGAAAATAAGGCTTGTGACCCCCTTATTTTATTTGATATTTCGAAGGTATTTTGAAAAGCAATCACCTCATTGAATTTAAACCAATTCTAATGTTTCTACAATAAAAAAAAAAATTAAGTTGCCCCAATATTACACTTATAGAATAACTGTAATTTTGTAAATTTCAAGGTATTTTAACGAGACAATATGGTCCCTGACCCCAAGTTTTTATACTAAATTGTGAAAGTTCATTGACAAAGTAGTCTTTTACAGAAGATTAAGAAAAATATATTGTCCAATATTTATCTACCTTAACTGCTAGTAGTAAAATATATATTTTTTTATCACTTTCGTCAGTTGTGTTCAATTTTGTAACCTTCAATTTTGTTAAATTATTGATAAAAAAATGACTTGAGATATAAATGTTGTTTTTCTTTATGAGAAAATTATGTTGTACAATGTTGGATTTGATCAGTTATAAAAATTATTTAGACTATGAAACATCTAGGCAATTTGTCTTGTTTCAGGAATGGAGAAACTCAAAAACAGACATGAGAAAAAAGGTAAACATATAATATAACACAAGACTGAAAGATGTATATTTTTTGAAATTGATGTTAATCGTCTGAAAGCAATTTTATCGTTAGTGTGATAATCTACAGCTATTTTTGTTGAGCCTGCGACTTTTTGTCGCAAAAGTCAGACATAGCGATCCTACATTTTGTCGTCGTCGGCGGCGTCCACAAATATTCACTCTGTGGTTAAAGTTTTTGAAATTTTAATAACTTTCTTAAACTATCCTGGATTTCTACCAAACTTGGACAGAAGCTTGTTCATGATCATAAGATAGTATCCAGAAGTAAATTTTGTAAAAAAAGAAACCTGTTTATCCGTATTTTATTTATAAATGGACTTAGTTTTTCTGCCAGTTAACATTACATTCACTCTGTGGTTAAAGTTTTTAAAACATAAATTTACTATATTCATAAACCATCCTGGATTTTTACCAAACTTGGACAGAAGCTTCTTACAATCAAAAGATAGTATCTAGAGGAAAATTTTTAATAATGTTTTCCCAATTTTCGTTGAGTCTGCGACTAACAGCAAAAGTAGGCGAGACACTGGGTTCTGCGGAACCCTTACGAATTTTTGTCTCGCCTTGACGGAGTACAAAAGCGAGACATAGGTATGCTGTTTCCAGCGGCAGCGGTGGCGGCATCAACAATGTATTATTTTGTGATTAGGTCTAGTTCATGGTGAACCACCATTGGTAGCTCAATGATATTTGGTATGCAGTTGTATTAGCATTGGCACATCTTATTACCATGGAGATTATTTGGCCCAGCCCCCTCAGTCAAGGTCTATTAACTTTGAAACTTTTCATAGTTTACATGTATTAGTTTGTGATTAGGTCAATTTATGGGGAACCACTAGTGGTAGGTCAATGATATTTGGTATGCAGTTGTATAAGCATTGGCATATCTCATTTCCATGGAGATTATTTGGCTCCGCCCCTTTAGTCATGGTCTATAGACTTTGAAAATTTTGCTAAGTTAACCTGTATTAGTTTGTGATTAGGTCAGTTCAAGGGGAACCATTAGTGGTATGCCAATGTTAATTGGTGTTCAGTTGAATAAGCATTAGCACATCTCATTTCCATGGAAAGTATTTGGCCCCGCACCCTCAGTCATGGTCTATTTACTTTGAAACTTTTGCTTAGTTTACATGTATTAGTTTGTGATTAGATCAGTTTAAGATGAAATGCTAATGTTAAGTCAATGATATTTGGTATGCAAATTTATTGGCATTTGCAATTATCGTTTTCATGGAAATTATATAGCCCCCACCCCTGATCATGGTTCATTGACTTTGAAACTTTTACATAGTTTACAAGTTAATGTTTGTGTTTAGGTTTGTTTAAAGGGAACGACTTATAATAAGTCAATGCGATTTTTGATGCAGTTGTATTAGCATTGGCAGATCTCATTCCATGGAGATTGTTTAGCCATGTACCTTCAGTCATGGTTCATTGACTTTGAATATTTGCATAACTTACATGTTAAAGTATTTCTATTTTAATTTCAACATTTGCAATATCGAAATTACAAAAAGGTGAGATATATCTCTGTGATAACAGTTTATTATTTATTATATTGAAATCAGTTACATAACATTTCTTGACATGTGCAGTTATCTTAGACATTACATAAGACTGTCTACAAATTATTCAGTAATGGTCGATTTAGCAGGTGAGACATTTCAGTGCACTCTTTTTAGTATTAGACCATTTATTTTTGGTGTAAGGAAAAACTTAATCATAATTTTAATATGAAAATAAGAATATATATGTGGTAAGATTGCCGATGAGACAACTATCCACCAGACACCAAATGACGTAAAAGTAAGTAAATATAGGTCACCATACAGCCTTCAACAATGAGCAAAATCCATACCTCAAAGTAAGCTATAAAAGGCACTGAAATGACAAATGTGAAACAATTCTAATAAGACTGATTTATGTATGAAATATGACACACAACCTGATTTATGTATGAGTTATGATATACAGCAAAAAATAATAATAACTGAACTACATGCTCGTGACTTGGGGCATGAACTTACATAATGTGGCAAGGTTAAACATGTGTACCGGTGTCAAACCCTCCCCTAACTTGGGACATGAACTTACATAATGTGGTGAGGTTAAACATGTGTACCAGTGTCAAACCCTCCCCTAACTTGGGACATGAACATACATAATGTGGTGAGGTTAAACATGTGTACCAGTGTCAAACCCTCCCCTAACTTGGGACATGAACATACATAATGTGGTGAGGTTAAACGTGTGTACCGGTGTCAAACCCTCCCCTAACTTAGGGCACGAACTTACATAATGTGGCAAGGTTAAACTTGTGTACCGGTGTCAAACCCTCCCCTAACTTGGGACATGAACATACATAATGTGGCAAGGTTAAACGTGTGTACTGGTGTCAAACTCTCCCCTAACTTTGGGCATGAACTTACATAATGTGATGAGGTTTAACATGTGTACCTGTGTCAAACCCTCCCTTAACTTAGGACATAAACATACATAATGTGGTGAGGTTAAACATGTGTACCGGTGTCAAACCCTCCCCTAACTTGGGACATGAACATACATAATGTGGCAAGGTTAAACATGTGTACCAGTGTCAAACCCTCCCCTAACTTGGGACATGAACATACATAATGTGGCAAGGTTAAACATGTGTCCCGGTGTCAAACCCTCCCCTAACTTGGGACATGAACATACATAATGTGGTGAGGTTAAACATGTGTACCAGTGTCAAACCCTCCCCTAACTTGGGACATGAACATACATAATGTGGCAAGGTTAAACATGTGTACCAGAGTCAAACCCTCCCCTAACTTGGGACATGAACATACATAATGTGGCAAGGTTAAACATGTGTACCAGTGTCAAACCCTCCCCTAACTTGGGCCATGAACTTACATAATGTGGTGAGGTTAAACATGTGTACTGGTGTCAAACCCTCCCCTTACCTCGGGCATGAACTTACATAATGTGTTGAGGTTAAACGTGTGTACCGGTGTCAAACCCTCCCCTAACTTGGGGCATGAACATACATAATGTGACAAGGTTAAACATGTGTACCGGTGTCAAACCCTCCCCTAACTTGGGACATGAACATACATAATGTGACAAGGTTTAACATGTGTACCGGTGTCAAACCCTCCCCTAACTTGGGACATGAACATACATAATGTGGTGAGGTTAAACGTGTGTACCGGTGTCAAACCCTCCCCTAACTTAGGGCATGAACTTACATAATGTGGCAAGGTTAAACTTGTGTACCGGTGTCAAACCCTCCCCTAACTTGGGACATGAACATACATAATGTGGCAAGGTTAAACATGTGTACCAGTGTCAAACCTTTCCCTAATTTGGGACATGAACATACATAATGTGGCAAGGTTAAACGTGTGTACTGGTGTCAAACTCTCCCCTAACTTCGGGCATGAACTTACATAATGTGGTGAGGTTAAACATGTGTACCGGTGTCAAACCATCCCTTAACTTGGGACATAAACATACATAATGTGGTGAGGTTAAACATGTGTACCAGTGTCAAACCCTCCCCTAACTTGGGACATGAACATACGTAATGTGGCAAGGTTAAACATGTGTACCAGTGTCAAACCCTCCCCTAACTTGGGACATGAACATACATAATGTGGCAAGGTTAAACATGTGTACCAGTGTCAAACCCTCCACTAACTTGGGGCATGAACATACATAATTTGACAAGGTTAAACATGTGTACCCGTGTCAAACCCTCCCCTAACTTGGGGCATGAACTTACATAATGTGGTGAGGTTAAACATGTGTACAGGTGTCAAACCCTCCCCTAACTTGGAACATGAACTTACATAATGTGGCAAGGTTAGACGTTTGTACTGGTGTCAAACCCTCCCCTAACTTGGGGCATGAACATGCATAATGTGGCAAGGTTAAACATGTGTCTAGTGTCAAACCCTCCCCTAACTTGGGAAATGAACATACATAATGTGGCAAGGTTAAACGTGTGTAAAGGTGTCAAACCCTCCCCTAACTTGGGACATGAACATACATAATGTGGCAAGGTTAAATGTGTGTACCGGTGTCAAACCCTCCCCTAACTTGGGGCATGAACATACATAATGTGGCAAGGTTAAACATGTGTACCAGTATCAAACCCTCCCCTAACTTGGGACATGAACATACAGAATGTGGCAAGGTTAAACATGTGTACCAGTATCAAACCCTCCCCTAACTTGGGACATGAACATACATAATGTGGCAAGTTTAAACATGTGTACCGGTGTTAAACCCTCCCCTAACTTGGGACATGAACATACATAAAGTGGCAAGGTTAAACGTGGGTACCGGTGTCAAACCCTCTACTAACTTGGGACATGAACATACATAATGTGGCAAGGTTAAACGTGTGTACAGGTGTCAAACCATCCCCTAACTTGGGACATGAACATACATAATGTGGCAAGGTTAAACGTGTGTACAGGTGTCAAATCCTCCCCTAACTTGGGGCATGAACATACATAATGTGGCAAGGTTAAACATGTGTACCAGTGTCAAACCCTTCCCTAACTTGGGGCATGAACATACATAATGTGGCAAGGTTAAACATGTGTACCCGTGTCAAACCCTCCCCTAACTTGGTACATGAACATACATAATGTGGCAAGGTTAAACATGTGTACCGGTGTCAAACGCGTCCCTAACATGGGACATGAACATACATAATGTGGCAAGGTTAAACGTGTACCGGTGTCAAACGCTTCCCTAACTTGGGGCATGAACATACATAATGTGGCAAGGTTAAACATGTGTACCGGTGTCAAACCCTCCCCTAACTTGGGACATGAACATACATAATGTGGCAAGGTTAAACGTGTGTACCGGTGTCAAACCCTCCCCTAACTTGGGTCATGAACATACATAATGTGGCAAGGTTAAACATGTGTACCCGTGTCAAACCCTCCACTAACTTGGGACATGAACATACATAATGTGGCAAGGTTAAATGTGTGTACCGGTGTCAAACCCTCCCCTAACTTGGGGCATGAACATACATAATGTGGCAAGGTTAAACATGTGTACCAGTATCAAACCCTCCTCTAACTTGGGACATGAACATACATAATGTGGCAAGGTTAAACGTGTGTAACGGTGTCAAACCCTCCCCTAACTTGGGACATGAACATACATAATGTGGCAAGGTTAAACATGTGTACTGGTGTCAAACCCTCCCCTAACTTGGGACATGAACATACATAATGTGGCAAGGTTAAACGTGTGTACTGGTGTCAAACCCTCCCCTAACTTGGGGCATGAACTTACATAATTTGGCAAGGTAAAACATGTGTACCAGTGTCAAACCCTCCCCTAACTTGTGGCATGAACTTACATAATTTGGCAAGGTAAAACATGTGTACCAGTGTCAAACCCTCCCCTAACTTGGGGCATGAACATACATAATGTGGCAAGGTTAAACATGTGTACCAGTGTCAAACCTGCCCCTAACTTGGGACATGAACATACAGAATGTGGCAAGGTTAAACATGTGTACTGGTGTCAAACCCTCCCCTAACTTGGGACATGAACATACATAATGTGGCAAGGTTAAACATGTGTACCGGTGTCAAACCCTCTCCTAACTTGGGAAATGAACATACATAATGTGGCAAGGTTAAACATGTGTACCAGTGTCAAACCCTCCCCTAGCTTGGGACATGAACATACATAATGTGGCGTAGTAAAACATGTGTACCGGTATCAAACCCTCCCCTAATTTGGGACATGAACATACATAATGTGGCGAGGTTAAACATGTGTACTGCTGTCAAACCCTCCCCTAACTTGGGACAGTGATGTAACAGTACAACAAAAGAACAAACAATAAAAATCAGTAAAAAAGGGCTTATCTCACCGGATCGATACAAAACACAAAAGACAATAAGTTCAATCTGAGAGTCCTGAGAGTACCATGTTCATAATTTTTTGTTTTTATTTTTTTAGATATTCTGATGGTTCCGGATGAAGTTATTCCTAAACATATACTAGGTAAGTTTATTGATGTAGAACATTGGAACATTACTTAATCCTACAAAAAAAATTAAGTCATCTATAGTACATATAACTGGAAAATACATATGTTTTGATTGATAAGGGCTCGTATCGAGGATACATGAGCTTTATACTTTTCGTGTTGTCATGTACGCACTCAAATTTAAGATTTGCTTGTAACATGAAATTAAAAATAAGGAAAATGATTTGCTTTTTTGGCATCAGTATTTATCATTTGTATCTATGACACAAAAAAATGTGCAAGCGGTGTAAGTTTTCTAGTTTGTATTTATCGACTCCTTTTATACTGCTTGTATTTTGACTCAAAGGTAGAATTCAAATTATTTGCATGTCACAATTCATTTTGGGGTCATTTAAAATATCTGCGACTCTGCGACACTGACTTGAAAACGTGCAGAAAATAAGTGCTTTGGAATAATAGACTAGGCACTTATTAATTTTGTGACGAAAACTATAAACAAACATAGTACATGCAGTGTGAACGTATAGAAGTTACTACAAAACATGAAAAATGTCACAACAATGATAATAAATAATAACATACTTGTCACGATAGAGTATTTTTCTTAAGAGGTAATACCACCACTGATATTCCCCTACTAGTCTTTGTTTAGCTGGCATTTAACAGTATGTACCTTTGATTTAAGTAAAGAAATACTTACCATTTAATTTTAAATTAGTTCATCAGTGAAAATTTCAAACCACATTTCCTTGCATAGAAGAAAAAAACCATCATCTTAAGTTTTAAAAATATTTTATTAGAACACTGAATAAAAAAAAAAACTATGATGCTTCAAAACACCCAAGATACATGAACATGACGAAACTGGATGTCACGTTTGTGGTATTACACCTTGAGGTTTGAACTTTAAATCGATAGTTAATTTATTGATTTTCATTTTTTACAGAGCAGTTCGAAAAACGCTTGGAACAGTGGAAAAAGGATGATCAACAGTTTGTTAGTACTGAAGCAGAGAAACATGTAATGCAAAAAGTTTTGACACAAAGTTCCGTTACCCTGGTGGGAAATTCTGGCACTGGAAAAAGTTTTCTTTCTAAACACATTGCCCTCATAATGATGAAACATGGCTATACTGTAATTCCATGTAGTAAACCTAAAGATATTGGAAAATGGTTTAAACATGGGAGGAAAACTTTGTTTGTCTTTGATGACGTCTGTGGCAGATATACTCTTAATCAACAAATTTACACTGACTGGAAACAAAGACTTGATCACATAATATCTCTTCTAGAAGACAAATGCTGTAAAATCATATCTACATGTAGATTGGAGGTTTACAAAGATGAAGTATTTAGCAATCTCTCTATTTTCAAAATGTGTAACATCGATTTAAGTTCACAAGAATTCAAACTTAGTGCTGCTGAAAAATTTGCTTTAGCTGAAGTGTACTTTAAGGAAAATACTGATGAAGTAAAGGAATGGTCAGACAAATATGACTTTTTCCCACTTTTATGTAGTTTATATCATAAACAGAACCTCCAGAAGAATGTAAGCATTACCTCCTTTTTCAGCAATCCTTTTGAAGTTTTCAAAGATCAAGTTGTACAAATGTATGGAGAAAGTGATGCTGGTAAGATGCAGTATTGTAGCTTAGTCCTTTGTGTGATGTTTAACAACACATTAACAGAAGAAAACTTGTCACCAAAAGAAAAGAAGATAGGAGCAGTCCTAGATGATTTACTAGAAGAATGTGAACTGAATAAAGGAACATCCATCAAACGTTTAAAGAAATCACTTGAAACTCTTGAAGGTACCTACGTGGTCAAGGAGGATAATAAATACAAAATAATCCATGATAAGTTGTTTGATTTCCTTGCCAAGTACTTTGGGGAGAAGCTGTTACAGATTTTCATTGATCATGCTAATACTGATTTTATAAGAGAGAGATTTCTTTGGCAAATAACAGATAACATGGGCACAGAAATAGAGTTTGTAATAAGAATACCTGATACCTATATAAATAGATACATAGATAGGTTACTGAAAGACTGGGAGAACGGTTTTGTTTGCAATGTAAGTGACAACAGAAACATGAAGTCTACTATATTTACTGAAAACTTCATAACACGTTTAAACCAACTTGATCTATCAAAGCAGGAAGAACTTGTTTGTACTAAAGATATTAACAATAAAGATATAGCACTTTCAGGAAGTTGTTATATGGGTACAGTTGACCTGGTTAAATGGTTGATAAGTAGGAATACTAACATTAATTATTGTAGAGAGGATGGTTGGTTTCCTTTATTATGGGCTAGTCAGGAAGGACATGTTGATGTTGTTAAAGAACTGTTACAACATTCAGCTGATGTCAATAAATGTAACAATAATGATGCATCACCTCTGTATATAGCAAGTCAGAATGGACATGTTGATGGTGTTAAAGTACTGTTACACCATTCAGCTGATGTCAATAAATGTAACAATAATGATGCATCACCTCTGTATATAGCAAGTCATAATGGACATGTTAATGTTGTTATAGAACTGTTACACCATTCAGCTGATGTCAATAAATGTAACAATAATGATGCATCACCTCTGTATATAGCAAGTCAGAATGGACATGCTAATGTTGTTAAAGTACTGTTACAACATTCAGCTGATGTCAATAAATGTAGTAATGATGGAACCCCACCACTACAGATTGCTTGTTACAACAACAGGATAGAGGTTGTATATGTACTTCTTCAGTGTGATGATGTTGATATTAATCTCTGTAATGATGATGGATGTTCTTCACTTTATTGGGCAAGTGAGAATGGACATGTTAATGTTGTTATAGAACTGTTACAACATTCAGCTGATGTCAATAAATGTATAAATAATGGTGTATCACCTCTGTATATAGCAAGTGAGAATGGACATGTTGATGTTGTTAAAGAACTGTTACCATATTCAGCTGATGTCAATAAATGTAACAATAATGGTGTATCACCTCTGTCTATAGCAAGTCAGAATGGACATGTTGATCTTGTTATAGAACTGTTACAACATTCAGCTGATGTCAATAAATGTAACAATGATGGTGTATCACCTCTGTCTATAGCAAGTCAGAATGGACATGTTGATCTTGTTATAGAACTGTTACAACATTCAGCTGATGTCAATAAATGTAACAATGATGGTGTATCACCTCTGTCTATAGCAAGTCAGAATGGACATGTTGATGTTGTTAAAGAACTGTTACAACATTCAGCTGATGTCAATAAATGTAGTAATGATGGCCACCCACCATTACAGATTGCTTGTTACAACAACTGGAAAGAGGTTGTACATGTACTTCTTCAGTGTGATGATGTTGATATTAATCTCTGTGATGATGATGGATGTTCTTCACTTTATTGGGCAAGTCAGAAAGGACATGTTAATGTTGTTAAAGAACTGTTACAACATTCAGCTGATGTCAATAAATGTAGTAATGATGGAACCCCACCACTACAGATTGCTTGTTACAACAACAAGATAGAGGTTGTACATGTACTTCTTCAGTGTGATGATGTTGATATTAATCTCTGTGATGAAGATGGACGTTCTTCACTTTATATAGCAAGTGAGAAAGGACATGTTAATGTTGTTAAAGAACTGTTACAACATTCAGCTGATGTCAATAAATGTAACAATAATGATGCATCACCTCTGTATATAGCAAGTCAGAATGGACATGTTGATCTTGTTATAGAACTGTTACAACATTCAGCTGATGTCAATAAATGTAACAATGATGGTGTATCACCTCTGTCTATAGCAAGTCAGAATGGACATGTTGATGTTGTTAAAGAACTGTTACAACATTCAGCTGATGTCAATAAATGTAACAATAATGGTGTATCACCTCTGTATATAGCAAGTCAGAATGGACATGTTAATGTTGTTAAAGAACTGTTACAACATTCAGCTGATGTCAATAAATGTAGTAATGATGGCCACCCACCATTACAGATTGCTTGTTACAACAACAAGATAGAGGTTGTACGTGTACTTCTTCAGTGTGATGATGTTGATATTGATCTCTGTGATGATGATGGATGTTCTTCACTTTATATGGCAAGTCAGAAAGGACATGTTAATGTTGTTAAAGTACTAATACAACATTCAGCTGATGTCAATAAATGTAACAATAAAGGTAAAAATTCTCTTAATGTAGCACAGGAGCAAGGACATATAGAAATAGAACAATTGTTAAAAGGAAAAGGAATAGATCAACATTTATGTCAAAATGATCAGTGAACATGGTGAAGGATGTTTTTTTTTTTTTTAGAATTTGGACATTTTCATACATGTATCGTAATTCATTTATTTAAAACCTCATAAAGCTGAAATTAGTTTATGGTTTGAAGTATCAACACTAGCCTATACTTCTATTAACCTTTACCTGTTTTGTTTTTTGTTTTTTTTTCTCTCTATTCTATTGTTAGGTTGCTGTCTATATTAACAAATCTCTTTTTATACATATATACATATCTTGTTTTAAAGAACTATTGGAAAGATTTTAGTGAAAATACTGTTAAATCAGATAAGGTAACTAACTCTTGGCTTGTTTTTCAATTAACATGATTAAAAAAATACAGCAAATTATTTGGAATTGAAAGCATTTAAAGATAGACCAGCAGTATGAAAGATAGGTGCACACCCTCTAAAAACAGAGACGGATGGATATGCAAAAAAACAATTATATAGATAAATCACAAAGGTTATGTTGGATAAAGTTGAAGATGAAAAACATTGTATATGTGAATGTCCTCGTTATAATCTCTTGAAAAAATAGTTCTATAATATCATTTGTAAAATTGTCAAAATGTTAAACTCAAATGCCAATTTCAAATTGTCTTTTTATTCAAGAAAACCTAGAGGTATTAAAAATTATTGGAATGCATATATTAATGAAAACTATCAATTTAGTACAGATATTTTTATATGTAACCCATTAAGAATATTTGCTTATCTGTTTTATTACTGCATGTTTACACACATGTTTATGGCTTTGGACTAGCTTAACATTTAGTTGATTATATTCATATTTATATATGATTGACAACAATATTTTTGTCAATTATGAAAAATCATCGTATTTTACTACTTTAATCCCATGGGCTATTTAAATGGAATAAAAATATCTTATTATATCGTAATATCTTGTACATAAAAAGTCATGAAAGTAGACAGTTTACACTGCCTTTTTTGAGTTTTACTTCTGCATTCATATCTCCATGACTTTAAATACTAGTATCAATACTGAAAGTGGCGTTAAACACCAATCAATCAAATCAAATCTCATCTCCATGTCTATAAGTACTAGTATCAATAGTGCTGAAAGTGGCATTAAACATCAATCAATCAAATCAAATCACATCTCCATGTCTATAAGAACTGGGATCAATAGTGCTGAAAGTGGCGTTAAACACCAATCAATCAAATCAAATCACATCTCAATGTCTATAAGTACTAGTACTAATAGTGCTGAAAGTGGCGTTAAACATCAATCAATCAAATCAAATCACATCTCCATGTCTATAAGAACTGGGATCAATAGTGCTGAAAGTGGCGTTAAACACCAATCAATCAAATCAAATCACATCTCCATGACTATAAGTACTAGTACCTATAGTGCTGAAAGTGGCGTTAAACACCAATCAATCAAATCAAATCACATCTCCATGTCTATAAGTACTAGTACTAATAGTGCTGAAAGTGGCGTTAAACATCAATCAATCAAATCAAATCACATCTCCATGTCTATAAGAACTGGGATCAATAGTGCTGAAAGTGGTATTAAACATCAATCAATCAAATCAAATCATATCTCCATGTCTATAAGTACTAGTACCTACAGGGCTGAACGTGGCGTTAAACACCAATAAATCAAATCACATCTCCATGACTATAAGTACTGGGATCAATAGTGCTGAAAGTGGCGTTAAACACCAAACAATCAAATCATATCTCCATGACTATAACTCTGGGATCAATAGTGCTGAAAGTGGCGTTAAACACCAAACAATCAAATCATATCTCCATGACTATAACTCTGGGATCAATAGGGCTGAAAGTGGCGTTAAACACCAAACAATCAAATCATATCTCCATGTCTATAAGTACTGGAATCAATAGTGCTGAAAGTGGCGTTAAAAATCAATCAATCAAATGATATCTCGATGTCTATAAGTACTAGTACTAATAGGGCTGAAAGTGGCGTTAAACACCAATCAATCAATCAAATCACATCTCCATGTCTATAAGTACTAGTACTAATAGGGCTGAAAGTGGCGTTAAACACCAATCAATCAATCAAATCACATCTCCATGTCTATAAGTACTGGGATCAATAGTGCTGAAAGTGGCGTTAAACACCAATCAATCAAATCAAATCACATCTCCATGTCTATAAGAACTGGGATCAATAGTGCTGAAAGTGGCGTTAAACACCAATCAATCAAATCAAATCACATCTCCATGTCTATAAGTACTAGTACCTATAGTGCTGAAAGTGGCGTTAAACACCAATCAATCAAATCAAATCACATCTCCATGTCTATAAGAACTGGGATCAATAGTGCTGAAAGTGGCGTTAAACACCAATCAATCAAATCAAATCACATCTCCATGTCTATAAGTACTAGTACCAATAGGGCTGAAAGTGGCGCTAAACACCAATCAATCAAATCATATCTCCATGTCTATAAGTACTAGTACCAATAGGGCTGAAAGTGGCGTTAAACGTCAATCAATCAAATCAAATCACATCTCCATGTCTATAAGTACTAGTACCTATACGGCTGAAAGTGGCGTTAAACATCAATCAATCAAATGATATCTCGATGTCTATAAGTACTAGTACTAATAGGGCTGAAAGTGGCGTTAAACACCAATCAATCAATCAAATCACATCTCCATGTCTATAAGTACTAGTACTAATAGGGCTGAAAGTGGCGTTAAACACCAATCAATCAATCAAATCACATCTCCATGTCTATAAGTACTGGGATCAATAGTGCTGAAAGTGGCGTTAAACACCAATCAATCAAATCAAATCACATCTCCATGTCTATAAGAACTGGGATCAATAGTGCTGAAAGTGGCGTTAAACACCAATCAATCAAATCAAATCACATCTCCATGTCTATAAGTACTAGTACCTATAGTGCTGAAAGTGGCGTTAAACACCAATCAATCAAATCAAATCACATCTCCATGTCTATAAGAACTGGGATCAATAGTGCTGAAAGTGGCGTTAAACACCAATCAATCAAATCAAATCACATCTCCATGTCTATAAGTACTAGTACCAATAGGGCTGAAAGTGGCGCTAAACACCAATCAATCAAATCATATCTCCATGTCTATAAGTACTAGTACCAATAGGGCTGAAAGTGGCGTTAAACGTCAATCAATCAAATCAAATCACATCTCCATGTCTATAAGTACTAGTACCTATACGGCTGAAAGTGGCGTTAAACATCAATCAATCAAATCATATCTCCATGTCTATAAGTACTAGTACCAATAGTGCTGAAAGTGGCGTTAAACACCAATCAATCAAATCACATCTCCATGTCTATACGTACTGGGATCAATAGTGCTGAAAATTGTGTTAAACATCATTCAATCAAATCAAATGATATCTCCATGACTATAAGTAATGGTTTCATTTTAAATCTGAAGATGATACATAATTAGGAAGTAGGTCACTATAACTGTAAAGGTCAACATCGAAGAAAAAGTAGTTCTATCTGACCTATATTTTATTATCATGACTAGGTTAACATTAGACATGTTAAAGCTTATAGATCCCACTGTCATTATGTAGTAAATTGTTATGTTATACTGGTAAATTGCATTCGTTTTAATATCCATGTTATATCAATGTATGGTCAAGTATTTAAAGGTGTCATGTTTGACTACCAATATATTTCTTTAAACAGCTACATGTAATTTTGACTTTAATTTTCCTTTTTTTTCATGATGATTTCTTGCTGAGGAATGTATGCTTTAGTTTTAGGTATGAAGTGCTTTGCTATGAATTTGTATATTGAAACTGCAAAACATGAAATTGTGCATAAACGATAAACATTTTCCCAGAAAAATTGTGCTTGTGTAACAAAAAGTAATATATGCAAAATGATTAAGGGCTATTCCATTAAAATGTATGTGGGAGGGTAGGAAGGGAAGTTTTATTATTGAATGTGGGTCATGGGTCTTTTTTCAGTGTGCATCTATTACCATTATGCAAAATTATCTAAAATATGGTTCTTGGTTGTAGGGATATTTTGAAAGTCCCTTCCTACCCTCCCACATACATTTTAATGGAATAGCCCTAAAGCAAATCATGTGTTGTATATCATGTATATAAAGAACAAAAATAATGAATTATATTTAATGGAATCAAATTATTATACATATACAATATATTTATTAAAATTATGGAATATACAATATAACTAATGTGTTCGTAGAACTTGTGAATTCAAAAAATGCCCTTTTTACCATCTTAGTAAAATAAATTAATTTTCTTTTCATTTTATTATATATACCATTTGATAAAGAACTTTCTGGTTTGAATTTTCCTTGGTGTTCGTATAATTTTGTTATTTTACATTTAATAAAATAATAAGTTTCAAAATTCCAAATGAATAAATGAGAATATTTAAATTTAATATGTAAATCTAGACTAATAAATCGTGTTAATGTATAATATACGCCTAATTTATATTTTTGCTAAGTGTTATCTGTATCAAATATCGACAAAAAAGTTTGATAATTTGATAATTTGATTTATTTTATATCAAGTTTATGTATTATAATTTTTCAACGTTTTGATCTCAAAAGAAAGGAAAGGCAATGAAATGTTTTAAATAAAGTATATAGTATTTTAGATTTATATGTTTTCAAAAATGATTATTAACATTTGGTCATATTTCTGAATATTTATTTAAATGAGAATTCAATACAAGTAGCTTAAAATGTTTATTGATTTTGACACATTCTGAGAAGTAAAAATAAAACCAAAAAATAGACATTAATTGTATATTTTCTTTTAAGATGTGCTCAATCATAAATTAATGTATTATTGTATTTGGAGTATTTAAAGAACAGTGGAATATGACAATGTTTTTATATTCTTAATAGAAGATGGGACTTTCATACACTGGAAAGGAATTACAGCCTCAATGAACCAATTTATTTCGTATTTATTTAGATTTAGTAGATGTATATTGTAGATATTATATACAATTGTAGTGTTTCATATTAACTTATCATTTCTAATAAACTTGTAGCCGTATGACTGAATTTTCCTTTTTCGTCATATAATTCAAAACTAATGGGTGATTATTTGTCGTCTTTGGTGTTAATCGTTCATAAGACATAATCGTTCATGGTATCACATAAGACAAGGAGAAAAACAGCCATTAACAATACAAAGAGAATACGGTCATTACACATACAACAGGAGAAAACGTCAATTAAACATGCAACAGGAGAGAACGGCCATTTCACATAAAACAAGACAATACGGTCATATTACAAATAAAACAGGTGAAACGGCCATTACACATGCAACAGGGGAGACCGGCTATTTTACATACAACAGGAAAAAACCGCCATTACACATATAACAGAGGAAAACGGCCATAACATATAAAACAAGAGAATAGGGCCATTACACACACAACAGGAGAAAACGGCCATTACATATAACAACAAGAGAGTACGACCAATACACATACAAAACGAGAAAACGGCCATTACACATACAAAACGAGAAAACGGCCATAACACATACAACACGAGGAAACGGCCATTACACAATAAAAAGAAAAGCCGGTCATTACACATACAACAGGAAACAACGGCCAATTGACATAAAACGGGAGAAAACAGTCATGACACATAAAACAAGAGAATACGGCCATTACGTATACAACAGGTGAAAACGACCATTACACATGTAACAAGAGAGAACTACCATTAGACATACAACAGGAGAAAACGGACATTACACATAAAACGAGAGAATACGGCCATTACACATATAACAGCAGAAAACAACCATTACGCATAAAAAAAGAGAATACGACCATACACATATAACAGAAAAAAACGGCCATAACACGGGTTACACTAATGACTGGACCGAATGACAGGACCATAACACATGCAAGAGGAGAGAAC